CGGATAAGCGGAAGAAAATGGATGGATGGATGGATGGAATATTAATGCAGTTTTGTCACGCTGACATTTTTGTAGTGGAGATTCTACTGAGTAAAGGATGATGAAGGATGAGTTGATGCTGAAGCCAAGGATCTCAGACATCATGTTTATGAAACTCCAACCAGAACCTTTTGGACGTGTGGACAGAAATCATGGACATCATCATCAGTCAGTGTTGGACCAATTTCTTTGTCTCAAGTCCATTTAGTAACAGCTGTGAGCAGCGATGTGAGTTTTCTGAAGGTGTCGGTGTTGCACTTTAAGGATGTTTTGTCTATGTTGACTTAAAAGTTGAGGTTAAAAGTTCATGCTTTACAATCCAAACTATTTCAACACTGCGCCTGTTGAGTAGCTGCTCTGGAGCTTTTAATTAAATTACATGGCCTTCCTCAGCAGATGGAATTTGTTCAGTTTGAACATTTAAGATTTAAGCCAACATGGACACAATGTCAAATAATGTTCACAAGTTCACATGTTCAGAGCGCCAGTCAGTCATTATTGGTCACGAGGTACAGTCAGGGGTCCAGTCAGTCAGAGCCCGTCCAGTCAGTCCCGAGTTTGTTCCCCCTACCCCCCGGCCAGGTCTACGGTACACTTTCACGGTAGCATTCTCATCCTCTCTTCTTATTCTAACCCCTTCAACTTCACTCTTTTTAGCTTTTCTTAGGCTGTTACGTCAATTTCCGAGCTTAGCTTCCTGTCTCCAGTTTTTAGGAGACCACCCTAAGATCTAGCCAAAAACAGGAAACATCTTGACCAACTTATATAAGCTCATTGTTCAGCTCACATGAACTTAAAGTGAATCCATAAAAACTATTCTCTTACATAAATTAATGTGTTTGCTTGTCACCTTTTGATGAGGTAGACATATTTGTATGACAAAGTGATATGTTGCCTGTAATGTTTTATTACACAAATTATGTTTTTGACATGTTTATGATGTTTGGAAGTGTCATTAAGCAGAGATGTGTCATAAAGGTATTGTGTGCTCATTCTTAGTGTCAGTCATCATGTGGTATGCAGCCATTAGGTCACTCATATGTTCATTAAATATATTTCTTGTGTTTGTATAGCTTCTGAAGGGGTGACAAGTCTGATGTCTATAGGTGCAAATACAGTGATGTGTATGGTGATAGAGTATAAAAGATGCTGCAAAAGCTTTGTAAACTATTCTGTTTTCGTTAGGCAGGCTTTTGAGGCATAAACTGGCTCTTTCCATTCAGGGGTATGTTAACGTGTATTTGTATATTTTCTTAAATTTGCTCTGGGTCTCCTCTGGTTTCTATTTATTTGTTGTTTTTATGTTTGCAGTCTTATTTTTGATTTAGGATTTTACTTGTCTGTAGTCTTGTTCTGTTGTGCAGCACTCAGGGCTCCTACGAGTTGTTGAGTGCTACAGAAATAAAGTTTATTATTATTATTATTACACTGGTCCATGTCAGTTTTCCACAACATAAGCTTATTTGTATTAATATAGATGTAACTGATTATAGCAGATACAGTGATTGACCTGTATATTGTTTTACTAACTACTGGTGTGTCCTCAGTGAAGTGTATCAGTCCGTGCAGTAGCTTCCAGCTGCAGCAGTCACTTCAGTTTCTGTTCAGTCTGACTGAGGGAGGTTTTTGTACGACACTTTTTCACTGTGTGAACAACCACTGATTGTTGATGTAGTGGAGACTCTGACAATAATAAACTGCTGCATCTTCAGCCTGGACTCCACTGATGGTCAGAGTGAAGTCAGAGTTTGATCCACTGCCTGTAAAACGACTTGGAGTCCCTGATGCTCGAGTGCTCACATAGTAAATGAGGAGTTTAGGAGCTTCTCCATCTCTCTGTCGGTACCAGGCTAACCAGTTCCCATTATGAACGTTCTGACTGACCCTACAGCTGATGGTGACGGAGGCTCCCAGAGCAGAGCTGACAGCTCCAGGCTGAGTCACTGTGACCTGGCCTCTGGACTCTGAGGACACAGAGACAAACACATAAAGCAGCGTGGTGGTTTTGTCGGCTTCATTTCAGAGGGACGGATGTTCATAGAGGAGAGGAGCTGGATTCTCTGGACTTTACCTGTGAAGCAGCAGCAGAGGAGAGTCCAGATGAGGACGGAGATCAGAGTCATGTTTCTGATGAGGAGGATTTCTGTGGTTCCTGTTGTCATGAAGGACAGCTGTCAGTCCTCCAGGGTTCAACTCTCAGGACTATAAACTCTCTCAAAGCACTGGAGCATGGTGCTGCTGATGCAAAGTGGCTCTATGGAAATGCTGTGACTGACTCCAGCAGGGACTGGGATCCCTCTGGTCAGTCTGAGTCCAGTGGATCAGTCAGAACAATAATAAAAAACTCACCAAGACCTATTTTGCTTGATCTCAGCTTCATATTTCTAGAAATATTGTGTTTGTTAAAGTTTCTTTTCTTATGCAAATTACTTAGTAGATACAGTAAATCTCCTTTCCTCCTGTGTTGTCTGATGTCAATGAGTCAGATTCAGGACTCTACTTATGCAGGACTCTACTTCTCTTTTCTGCTCAGCTTAGCTACAGTAGCAGTGCGACTTTAATCTCTATTAAAGTGCTGTTTGGTTTTGCCTCTAATTCTGGAAATGAAATGTTAAGAACTGAAGAAAGTAATAATGATGCTCCTGATACTTTCCTGACTAGTTTTATTTTACTGCCCTCTCCCATAGATCGATTCGGGTTCATGACAGTGACTGGACATCTTAGACAATGCTCGGAAGAAGGGGTGTGGAGCTGGCATGAGACCGTGTCTCTGGCTCAGGCCATAGAAGGCTGTGTAACTGCGAGCAGATAAAGGCTAGGATAGCTGGGTTAGAGAGGAAGAATTAAGGATGGTGCAGCGGTTGTGAGAGTGAGCTTAGACCCGGCCGGGGGGACTCTGACTGACTGGACCCTGTGACTAAGACTGACTGGCGCTGTGATAATCTTCTTATTTAATACTGTACCTATCCCATTGCAGGAGGAGTGATTCTGTTCTCTGTTCCCTAACTACCAGATTACTTAGTTAGTTGCATGTTTTACATTTATGCATTACTCCACTTTAGTTGATCATAGTCAAAAACAGGTGTATTGTGAAAGACATAACTGCATAAGAAAGAGTCATGGCGTCTGAAGTGATAAACACATCTCCAGTCATAGTGATTGGGAATAAAAATCCGTTGCTGGTGGAGGAAATTTATAGATTATCTCAAAAGTGGAACAGGAGAACGCAACACTTGTCGGTATTCTGACCCTGAGACGGAACATTTGATAAACATTTGTGTGCTGAGATGAAAATGCTGATAATTAATTATAAGATAAATCTGCAAAGCGTGTTTGCAAACGTGAACGAGAACTTGCTGTCTTGCAATTATTTAGTAGCCATGCTGAAATGATGAGTGAAAAAACAGCCCAGTATGGTAGAGAATCCGCTGATGAACTGGCGGAGGCTGCCAGGTTTGAGCAGCTGGAAGATGAAATTGTTGATTTACTTGACATATATTTGAAAGCATTAAAGCTTTCTGGTCAAAATCCTAGACGTTTAAATGAGATTCATAATCAGATTGTGAAGTTTGTACAGGAAGAAGAGATAAAGACAGACCATGAGTGTGGTGAGGTGGCAAAAGGGGAGGTGCTCTGCTCTGCTCCATCTGACACTAAACTGGTGCCTCCCCCCCGACCAAAGCCGGAAGCTGAGGTGAGTTATGACCAAGGGGGAGCTACACCCAAACTCCCCCATTCTGTTCATCCAATGTCACACCAATGTGAAGGGGTGCTTTGTTCCCCGGCTTATAAAAAAGATGGAAGGAAAAGGTGCCTGTGCCTGTGACTCCTGTCGAGCCAGCCGGACCCACTCCATCTCGAGTGCCTGCCGTCGTCATCCCCCTGCTGATATACACACAGCCGGGGGGGTGGGCTGGAAGAAGATTTCCTGCAGGCCACAGAGCAAGGGGCTTCCACTGTGAGACAGATGTCCCGAGTGGTCTTGTGGCAGACCTGCCCAGGGGAAACAGGGCAACCCTGGGGCATGGGGACCTATGAACAAAGGGCGGAGTCCCCCCTCTTAAGTATTCATCGCTGGGACAATAATAGAGACAGTGTGAGTCATGCTGACTTTTTTAAACTCGATTCCCTGCAGTTCCAGAGCAAGGAAGGAGACTGTTGAGCTGCAAGTGCTGGCGTCTGGAATGTGACATCGTGGTTCTGGCTGCACAAAACCAAATGACTGTGGGGCAAAGGACAAAGAAGGAGAAAAGCCTAGGCCATGGTGTATTGGTCTGGATGTGGATAACACCTTTATAAATTTAGTTAGAAGGTGAATGAACTTATTATTGATGATCTGTCAAGAGGCCTCACTCCCTGTCTGTCAAATTCACTGCACTCTTCAATATTTTAAAACTAAGCTTAAAGTACAGTCACATATTTGGTTTAAGAAACAGAAGGCTAAAATATAATTTTTTCTTATCATGATAGAGAAATGGGTAGCTGTAATAAAAAGGGAAAAGTTTTTCACATGTTTTGTGGTAAATATAGACTATGGGCTAAAACATATAGGCTCAATGACTATATAGCAAAAATTTATGCAGTAATACTTCAATCTTGCCAGTAATGACAGTAGAAAAAAGTAAGTATCAAGTGATACATTTTTTACATTATCTAAGTAGTGTGTTAATTGTCATAGATCTTTATTTGAGGTTGTAGTGCATTTTAAACTGAAGTTCCAAATTTACACGCATTGTGGCTGAATGTTCCACCCGAGGTGAGGTGGTTTAATATGATTGACTTATGTTC